ACAGAAAGGGCATACAAACTTCTAATAATTCGGAGATTTTATAGTAAGAAGCACAATTTGCATAAATACACTAGAAAAGGGCAGATCCACATGGATAGCTAATTGTCTAGTGATTACTGTTCCTGAATGTGGTTCTTTGTAACTAGAAATTATTCCTGGGAAGAGAAATTATATCTAAAAGAATAACTAAAAGAAAAGGATAGTCAGCAGTGATAAGAAAGTCTCTCCCATTAGGAAGATGCATAAATATGCTAGTAGGTAACAGAGTGGGCAGTTATTTTGACAGGGCATCATGTATTAAAAGTTTTCTTTGTAGAATTCTTTTTATTCCTCTTTACCAAGCAATGTGGTAAACCTGAGACATGAGGGTGAAATTTCAGGACACGGAAAGAAGCAGAGTTCCAAGAGCTTCACGGGCAATGACAGGGAGGCAACACGTGGGGCCACCCAGCAGTCCCTCCTGGGGGACCTTCCCTCTTCCTACAGGAGACAGGCAACACGCCCTGGGGAACAACTGTGTTGGAGGGAACACTAAATTTGGAAAAGCAGGCAGGTAACAGGGAAGAGTCCTGAGAAGGACAATGGGGACAAAGCACACAACAGACATACTAACTTTATTCCTGCAGAGAAACTAACAACTGGAAAGAAAAGACCATCGATGTTGAAGTTCTCAAACATCCCTTGAACAGGCTGTCCGTTAATGCGGAAGGAGATGCTGGGGGCACTTAGATCTAAACAGCAACTGATGACATCATCCGTTCTTAACAGGTGCTGGTTGGGCGAGCTCACGGTGCGAGCAATACAACCTGTTGGGGAAACACAAAGGAAGGTGATACCATTAAGCACGGGGTGTCCTCCTGATCTGAATAGATGGTGATGGACCAACGCACACAGCATGTGCTGTGGTGGTCAATGTCCTGTCAACTGGAGAGGATTTAGAATCACCAGTGACTGGCCTCAGGCATGTCTGTGAGGGATTATTTAGATTAGGCTAAATGAGGTTAGGAGACCCACCATAAACATAGGCAGCATGATCTCACAGACTGAGATCTACCTGCATAAAACAGAGAAAACCAGCTGAACTCCAGTACTGACCACTCTCTACTTCCTGCCTGTACTTCCTGTCTACTTTCTGGTGTGACCAGCTGCTTCCAGCTCCTGCCGCCATTTCTTCCCCTCCATGACTGATGGTGTCACCTAGAACTGTGAGCCAAAATAAACTCTTCCTCACTTAAGTTACTTTTGTCAGGTGTTTTGTTACAGTCACAGGTAACTGATACACGGACTAAGTCTCAAATACAGATTAATATCATGTGCTAAAAACTCTTGGTCACAAACATTTATTTTGGTGGGGGGAGGGCTATGATGTCTGCTGGAAAATGGGCCTTCTCATATGCAGAAATTTCTGCATGAACATGGGTTATATTTGATGCAGAAATTATGTCAGAGAAAATAGAATGATTTCAGAGGAAATCTGAAAACATGATGCAGAAATTATCTCAGAGGAAGTACAATGATTTCAGAGGAAATTTGAAAAACCATCTAACTTCAAACAGCACCACCTTCAACTTGCACAGCACTTGGAAAATGAGTTACCCTCTCAGAACCTTGATTTATTATAAATAGAACACCAAAGACCACCACGTTCTAGAATTAGTGACTAACTTAACAGTTTATAAGCAACACTGCCAGGCACTGCGGACGCCTCATGCAAGCTCCTCTTGTACATTCTCTGTGTTTCAAAGTCCGATATAAAAGGAGAAATTGCCTCAATTTGTGAAGCATTTTGTTTACCAAGAGAGAATTAAATGCCAATTTGATTTTGTTTCATAATGAAATTTATTTCCTGCAAGGTCTTGGTTGGCTTCTGAGTTACCTCAGGAAACAAGAGGCACGAAGACATTTGATAAATGACATGTTTGACCCCGGACAACCAGTGCTCTCAGCCCATTCTTGATGATACCACAGGTCCTTTGCTAGTTACTCCAGGGTGTCCCCCCAGGAAGCATGCTGGAGGAAAGGTGTGTGTTTCCCCAAGGTGCAGGCTGAGAAGTACGAAGGTGCCCCATGTTTGAGCAAAGATAAAATGACTTTGTGGCACACACTTTGCATTTACAAAAATGCAATTTTTATATTATTTTGTGTGTGTGTGTGTGTGTGTGTGTGTGTGTGTACACATGCCCATGCACATGCATCATGGTATATGTGTGGAAGTCAGAGGGTAACTGGTGAGAGTCAGGTCTCTCCTATCATGTGCGTTCCAAGGACCTAATTCAGGTCTTTAGGCAGCAAGTGCCTTTACCTGCTGAGCCATCTTGCTAGTCTCGTTTTTATTTTCTTTTTGAGACAGGGTCTCCCTGTAGCTCCAGCTGGCCTGGAATTCACTATGTAGACCAGGCTGGCCTCTATCTCACAGGGATCCACTTGCCTCTGCCTCCCAAGTGCTGAGACTAAAGCCGTGCACCACCACACCTGGCATGCTTTTTTATTTTTAAAATAACATCTGTTTTATTTCTAGCATGCAAGAGCTTCAATCAAGAACCCACTCGAAATGTCAGAGACAGATAATCTCTCTCTCTCTCTCTCTCTCTCTCTCTCTCTCTCTCTTGGTCTTTTTGAGACAGGGTCTTCCTGTAGCCCCAGCTGATCTGGAACTCGCTCTGTAGACCAGGCTGGCCTCAAATTCACAGAGATAATCTCTTCTTTTTAAAATGTGAATCCTACTTGATTTTATCAATATTCAACTCTGCCAACAAAACAAATCACGATTCCTCAAATCTGTGAATTCCCTGGATATTTTAAAGGCAGCTTTTACAGAAAGAAGAAACAAAAAACACAAAGCAAAGCAGCTCCTGGGAAAAGGTCTATTTCTTTGCTTGTGGTCATTGCCTATAGTTAATATAAATGTTCTGTTTTAGTTACTATATTAAAAGAAGATATTTACCATAATTCCAATATATTGCTCAGTGTGAGCGATATTGCTTAAACTAAAGGGCATCTAAGAGTCAGCCATGTATGCTGCCCTGCAAAGTCTATAAGAGATAATAAGTCAGAGGGGAGCTGGTGAAGGACCCGAGGATGCTGTCTGAACAGCGCATGCAGCCTGGAAGTCATGTGGTTCCATGTCTGCATAGCATGCATCCCAGTGCATGTCAGATCTGGTGCGGAATGATCTTTTCTCTGCTTTCAGCATCAAGGGAGAGAGCAGTGGGTGGGTTCGTGAACTTTGAGGGAGCAATCTGTACCGTTCCACAACCTCCCTCCATATGTCTTTACTTAAGTTCTCTAAGAGCACCCAGAGTTTTCACACTCTTCTTCTTTTAAAACACCTGGGATGTCTGCATACCAACACTGTATGGAGTTGAATGTGAAAGATAAATTAAGACATCGCTAGAAACTCTTGATTATGAGTCAAATCTTTGTTCCACAGAATATTGGTCTCTAATTACAAAATTTTCATTGGCAAAGCATGCGTTGTCTCCTAGAAACCAGTGACATTTGATGCTTTGAATTCGACCTCAGCCACTAAAAAGAAGAAAAATAAGAGACTAACAATGAATCTTTCTGTAAGAAACATATGTCCCTTTGCTGTTGATCTGCTTTCCCCTTGTCCTAGGCATGTACTAATCTGTTTTCTACTGCTATTGATTAAATTGCATGTTCCAGAATTCCATATAAAGATGATCATAAAGGATTTACTGGGACTGGATAGATGGCTGAGGGATGAAGATCACGTGTTGCTCTTGAAGAAGACTGGAGTTCAGTTCCCAACACCCATGTTGAGCAGTTCACAACCACTTGTAACTCTAGCTCCAGGGGATTCATAACCTCTTTTAGAACCCACACCTGTGAAGGCACACCCACACTTCACCACCTGTGAAGGCACATAACCACACACAGACATATACACATAATTAAAAATAAAATAGGAGTTGGAGAGATGGCTCAGAGGTTACGAGTACTGGTTGTTCTTACGGAGGACCCAGGCTCAATTCCCAGCACTCACATGGCAGCTGACAATGGTCCATAACTCCAGTTCCAGGAGATCTGATACCCTCTTCTGACCTCTGTGGGCACTGCATGACACAGGTGCACCTACCTACATATAGGCAATGCACTCATACACATAAATAAAAATAATAAATGAAATATTTTTTTAAATGAACACAGAACTGAGTCAATGACTTGGGGAAAGCACTTGGTACACAAGCCCGAGAACACGAGTTTGGGTGCACAGAGCCCGTGCAAAAGCAGATGCAGGCACGTCTGTGACCCCAGCACTCCTGTGAGGAGGAGGTGGGAGGCAGAGGCAGGAGAATCCTGGAGTGCTCATGGTCAGCTGGCCTGGTGTAATGTGTCGATGAGGCTCTGTCTCAAACAAGGTGAAAAGCAAAGACTGGCACCCAAAGTTGTCTTCTGACCACGCACCCTTTCTTTAGCATGTACGTGTCCACACTCACACACGTGAACATACACATACACACATCATGCACACCTAAAAAAGTATTTTCTCTTGGCAACCAAGTTTCAGGGGAATTTCCTCCAGAAATCCAATAACCTGGACATCTTTTCTGTGACTCATCCCTAAGTTCATTATGCTGTCCTTACTGTTCTCTTTAACAGACATTTTGCCATAAAGACACAATGCACAGCATTCAATTCCAGACTCATAAGGCGTTTAAAAAAAAAAAAAAAACAAATTGGAAGAAAAATCTCCAAGGTAAGTGTAAAACCAGAAATGGAAAAAATGCTCAATAAATATCTGATGCTGTGTCATCAGAAGAATTCTTTTCTCCAACCTCGCCTAAGAGAAAAACGTGTCAACATTTCTCATTTATAGAACGAAGCAGCCGTTATCCACAGTCATTCTCAGAACTAGAGAGAGGGTGATGGAGTCGAAGAGATTCTTGGGCAAATGTATCAAAAGCAGACATGAGTCCTATGTTTGAGAAGCCCCTGCACTCTGTGCTCATGTCCTGTCATCAGACCGTGGACATGTTTACTATGGTAACAAGTATTGTGGCTGTTATCTGATTGGCTAATGCACCTGGGTACAGACAATAAAGGTATTGTCAGGACCCCCAACTATGTGGTCCAAGGGTTAAATGAGTTATCCTCTTTCTCCTTTCTCTCTCTCTCTCTCTCTCTCTCTCTCTCTCTCTCTCTCTCTCTCTCCCCAAATTCCACCTCTATCCCCTCAGGGCAAAA